AGTTAGTAGGAGTAGTAGTAGTAGTAGTAGTAGTAGTAGTAGGAGTAGTAGGAGTAGTAGGAGTAGTAGTAGTAGTAGTAGTAGTAGTAGTAGTAGTAGTACGAGTAGCAGTAGCAGAGGCACTGGCAGTGGCAATTTCAGCAGCAGTAGCAGTAGCAGCAGCCGCCGCAGTAATAGCTGCAGCAGCACGAATAGCAGCTGCAGGCAGCCACATAATTGTTCTTGTTAACATTCGCGCAGACAGGAGGGCAACCCTTCTCGATGACTATGCCTCACCATGAGTGCGCCAATAGCTTGCACTGCACCAGCGCATGGCGAAGGCGCGGTAAGGGCTCGTGTTTGTTACTTACTGAAAGTGTGTCGCTGGTCTGCTGTCATCAGGGCTGGGGTTCCTCGAGGTGCGAGGGATCCTGGGGCTGAGCATGCGGTTGGGGCCTGCATTTCATGTGGGGAATGTCTTGATTGCTTCTGTGGCTTCAGGGGCTTTAGCGCTTAAGCTAAAAAAGCTCCAGGAAGAAGTTGGGCGGGCACTACAGGGAACTTGGGGACTCAACTGAGCGCTGCTGTTGGAGGGCTCGCGGGGTGAAATGAGATTCCAGTGCATCCAATTCAGAGGAATACATGAATACATGGCGCCGCATGAGATGTAGATTGGGGCAGGTTCATCTAAGCAGTACAGCTTTTCACACAAGACAGCTTGAGCCAGGCCAAGAACGCGTTCTCGACCTCAAGATTTCTCAAAAAACTCAGTGAAAGCAACACGGCCCTCGGAGAGGTGCAAACGAAGCGGAAGACAAGCCTCTCGGCTCATCTTTTCAGGAACGCGGTTTTGATACACTTCTCCTAGGGCCCGAAGGGCTCCATAGTCAAGCTTTGCAAAGTGAACCACATGCCAATCATCCGGGCTTTTTGGAGGGGAGCCCCAAGGTTCAACACTCGACGACACAAACGTGGCAGCCGTCAACTCAAAGGATCAGACAAACAAGCACTACGACGCACTACGTGCGATGAGGTAGGTGGCATGTCAGCAAGGCGTCAGCTGCCATTCGGGGCTTCGGGAATCCTTGAGATTTAGCGAACTGGTGACACGATGACGGTCCTTGAAGAAGTCGACACGCAAGGGCACAAAAGCTCTCGAGCCGAAGAAGCCAACTGGTGAAAAGGTTCACAGTGCACGGACCATATCCATCGCATAACCCCGAAATCTTTTTCACCAAGACATGTTCGGAACCATCACCTGCAAGCAGCTCCAAGCATCATGCAAAACCGTGCAACACACTAGCATGTGATCCAATGCATCGGAAGGCCGAAGTCAGAATGCCCGAACACACGTCGCGCTGCAAAGGGCTTTTTCCATCACAAGAACAGACGGGGCTCCTCTGGAAGGCCAAGATTCTAGAAAGATTTCCGGCGGTCTCACACGTCGAGTCTGGGGCTATGGGGCTTTGAAAATTTGGGCGAGGATCAGGGTTAAGTTGTCTCCAGGCTTGCTACACTGTTACAAGGAGGCCTTCCCACTCCCCTCATGGAACAGGTGACGCTGAACGCTAAATCTCCGCAGTGCCGTGAAGCTTGTGCCCCAGCACGGGCCAGCGATTGCTGTGCAAGGACGAGGGTGCAAGCGTGCGAAAGATCTGAAGGATGCCTGTGGCACGCACACACAGGCTGAACCTGTACAGGACACAGAAAAAGCAAATTTTGGAGGAGGACTCAACTCAACACCTCAACCGATAGCTAGAAGCCCTGCAATCTGCCTCCACTCTGCTCCGCCAGATAACAGTTAACAACGAAGAAACTGTGCCGATCCCTAATCCGAAGATGTTACTTCGAATGCCATCTTGAAGTTTCACAGAACAACTGGACGAGTACCCGAGTGCGGCAGCTAGAGGGGCCAACCCTGCCAATGGACTGCCAGGAAACCCGACAAGCTTCAAGGAGCCAAAGACTATTCAGGGCTTGAGATCAAGTGTTCTGGATTGACGGGGTTGTTCCTTCATGGGGCTTCGAACTTGGCAAGCGGACAATTCGGGACCAGGCCCCCGTGTCTTTGGGGCCGGGGCGGGTTAACAGAAAGATGGACTTCTTCCGCCGATTGTCAAGGGATGCAGTTTCCGCTGGTCGGATTTCGGGATCCATCATTGTCCAGCATGGAGACTTCATTCTGCCTCTGGGCGGCAGCGCCGCTTTGCCAGAGTCATGTATCCAAGAAGTCAGCTGCAGGAGGGAGTTTGGGGACATGCTCGCCTAGCTGCAGAAGGCTTGGGCATTGGGGCCTTCTTGTGCGAGCCCGTTGGGCCCTTTCCTCTGCAGCTGTCTCTTGCAAACTGCTCGCAAATAATGGAACTCAGAAACAGGCTCAGGCTCAGATGCCTTGACGAAATCGCTTGGGGCGTCGACTCCTGCAACAGGCAACAGGCCCACGCACTGTCAGCCCGACTCGAACCGAGCTCTGTAAGATCGTCTCAGGACATCGGAGCTCAACGCGAAGGGCATCACTTTCGCTGAGAAGGCAAAGGAGGTCTAGACTGCAGAAGTTTGAGCATAAGTCGACCAAAACCACAGGTGGGGGCGTGCTTCGCGACATCCCATGTCCCCCCACACAAAGCGCATTGGGGTCGCGGCGTCTCCGCAAGGACAAATCCGAAACTACAACAACAAGAAGCTCACGAACACGTCCTCTGAAGTATGCGTTCGGACACATCTCTATGTCAAAAGTTCAAGATTTGAAGATGCTGGTAAAAAAAACCTTGGGGTTGAGGTCCGACAGAGACGGGGGCATCAGCGACATGATGCACGCTGTAATCTGCCGGACCGAACGAACATGGTGTGCAACCGCTCAAGACTGCGAGACAGGAAAAAGGTCCCACGGCCTGTTTTCCGCAATGGCGGCGTAGATGCCATGCAGTTGGGCCACCAACTTCTCGTAGAACATGAACCTTTTTGGTTTTGGCAGGCCATAGATGTTTGTGGCAGAAGGTGCTTGCCAAGGCGGTCCGTGAACATCCAGATCTGTCAAAGGATAACATTTATCGGCAACTGCACGGTCACTCAACACCTATGCTCTCTGCTCTTGACAGCGACATGCCTCCACCTGCCTTCGCCTCCAAGCCAACGTGCAAACCCCAAACTCGCCTTGAAGCCACACTCCCTGCACCCAAAGCCTCACATCTTTGTGCTAAACCTGAACTCCCACCCCGACTCCAGCGCTCTCAAAATGCAGACGAGGATGCATCAGTGCCGAGTTGAGCACGGTCCTGGCTGCAACCGAAGAAGGTTTGTTTGGCTCAAGCTCGCATGCGTTGACAGTAGTAATTACAGTGGTCCTTGTTTCAAGGCTTCCACTAAGACTTTCAAAACACGTCTGATCCACCCTGAGAAATCTAAAATCCGAAACCCTCACCGACTGGCTATCCAGGCCAAGAGTCTGCAGGAGTTTCGCCTCAATGCCAGCATACAGGGCTGCGAAGCCTCAAAGCGAAGGATTTCTAGCTCAGGCCTTGCAGGTCATTGGAAAGGGCGATTGGACTCGCTTGCAGCTCGACAAGGATTCTGAGAGGATGCATGGGAAAGTCAGGTTCATAGACGCATAAGCTCAAAAATTCAGCCCTAAAGGGGACCTGAGGTCGGAATTCAGTCCACACGTTCCTCGCCTGCACTCGAAGCTGCTCGGAAACCTCACGAAAAAATGCATTACAGGTGTTCGACAAGCAGGATCTTAGCCGAGAGTGTCGAAGATCTGCTCGTGCCTACAACCCCGAAGATTCTGCGCCCGAAGCCTTGGGAACTACAGTGGCAGAAGATTCAGCCAAACAATGAAGCTCACTTATGTCCCGCACTCTGCCCAAAGCGGCCCTGCCGAGCTCGAGGAAACGTAAAACTTAAAACTTTGAACTGGCACATATTACGTACATTAAGTATGATATTGAAGAAACATATTTGAGTTATAGACTATTTTCTGTATCCCGAATTGTGTTCCATTGTATGTTCTGCTAGACAACTAATTACCTGTGCTTTTCATATCTGGAAAACACATTATGGTACATCTTTGAAACATTTGCCGACAGGTCCAAGTCTTAAGAGTGCCACGGTCCCTCAACTGAAGGCTCATAGAACACCCTTTCCCAAAATGGCTCATCAAGCAATCCTCCAACGACTACGAGTCTGCCGCAAAGAAGCCGCTCATGACCACCACTTCGATGAGGCAGTCGAAGATGCCCGTCTCCTGGCGCCGCCGGCTGATGTTTCTTTCGGTGGCTGTATGTCTCCAGGACTCCGTTCACACCCATTCGACATCCCGTAGCATTTAGATTTGGAGGTATCGTGGGGTACGAGATCCCTTGGAAAAACTCGCGAAACGGAGCCCAGCGACGGCCACCCCCGGCGTTCGTCGATGCACTCGCTGTCGTGTCCTCAGCTGGCGATTGCAGGATTACTGTCCGGGCCCGGATTCTCCAGACTCCAATGTCGGCATCGCGCTGCCACCGTTCTAGCTCCACTCAAGTAGTGATCTCTTAGGGACACATGCATGACGTCGGGTGAGAATGCCAGGTGTCTGAGCAACTTGGAACGGGTAAGTTGCGCAGGTAGCCACGGACTTCGCGATTGCGCCGGCAATGAAGGCATTGGACGCGGAAATCTCTGCCTCTCTTTGGAAGAAGTTCCGCTTCAACAGGTCGTAGATGACAAACCTGGGAGCTCGAGTTCGAGAGACTTGTTTCTTATTCCGGCAATTAGAATTAAATATAATTAAAGACTACACCTTGCCTGTTCCAGGCCTTGTGGTAAAGCATGAACGAAGCACTACTACCAAGACCACAACTAAGAGTGCGACTGCGACTGCTACGCCTGTTGCTGGCAGCAGTAATCGTCGTCGTAGTCGTAACAGCAGCAGCAGTCGTCGTCGCCCTACCCAGTGGCATTTGTAGTGGGTGCGGTTTTGATCGTGGCAGTGATGGTAGTAGTAGTCGTCGTCGTCGTCGTCGTCGTCGTCGTCGTCGTCGTCGTCCGTCGTCGTAGTAGCAGCAGCACTACCAGTGCGACGAGTACAAGAAACCCGTACTCGGTGGGAGCACTAGCACTTGTACGCATGCTACTATACAGGTCCTCCTGCTCCTCCTCCTCACTCCTCCTCCTCCTCCTCCTGCTCCTCCTCCTCCTCACTCCTCCTCCTCCTCCTGCTCCTACTCCTGCTGCTGCTCCTACAAGTACATGGCTTGCCGACTGACTGTTTGTCCCCGCCCTTCTCTTGACTCCAATTATTCTGACAGGTTGCTGAATGGCAGGGTTGGCGACCTCAGCTCCCAGGGCAAACACAAGTTGTGTTCTGGGAGGCAGGCCAGGCCAGGCCAGAATTTCTTGGCTCCTCTACGGCATGCCAAATTGTAGTTTAGGAGGGTTGAGTTTGAGGCTCCGATCGCGGATTCTCACAAAGCCGGTACGGCACTACACTCTGCTCTCTTGTCTCGAAACGACAAGCCCCAAAAGCCCAGGCCAAGCAAGCCACTTCCTACTGACACAGAACCAGTGCTGGCGGCAGTGGGCCCTATGCCCTATGATTCGAGTGGCCAGCAGCATCGACGAGGCCATACCGCTCCAGAGGGCCCCGAAGCCCTCTTGGACGAGGATGAAGCCCACCCTCAGCTCTCCAGGCTTTGTGGCTTCTGGGTCGCAGGGATTAGGAACTCGCGGGCGGATGTCGCGGACTTGCGTAGTGCCAGAATCCGTATAGTGCCTAGGAAGGTTTTAGCTCAGGCTGTTGTGGTTTGGGGCCGCTTAAACCTTCACTGGAACTTGGATGCTTCAGCGCTGGGGATCGAACCGCGGTGCAAGGCTTCACGGGCTTCGTGTCTTGAAGTTTCTGAAATCGCCTGGTTTTCAAGCACTACGAGCTGCCTGGGTTCCCCTGCTACAGGCTGGCTTTCTCCCATTCGTAGAGTAAAAGGCATCCTGCGAACTGCAACCTCGAACCTAGAACTACTGCCAGACTCAACAACTGGCACTGAGGTTGCGGTAAGTTTTGCACTGCGCCGCTATTCCAACATGTCAAAGAGAAATGAGGAGAAAGCCTTCCTCAGCACTAACACTTGTATCCTTTATGAACCATAAACCCTATCGAGAACCGACATCCTGCACTGCAGCCACTCAAGCAACCTGCCAAAGCCGAGGTACTCTTGCCAGAGGCCATCGCCAGTGGCACGCCCGATCTTCAGCCGCGTGGTGGCCTTCGTGGATAGGTCTTAAGTTCTGACATTTGGACGCTTTAATGAGGAGATATAGGCTTGCACGTGTTGGTGATAATGACGGCATGTACCGGAATTAGAAGGGCCCATAAAAATTACATGGTGGCTACAAACATAAGTGGCCATGGTCATCGTCGTCATCGTTACCATCACGACTATGGTCTGAAATCTTGCGCACCATCGACTCTTGTGCGCGATGCTGGCATCGAAACGCCACCGGGTCATTCAAAGGCTTCAATGTTTGCAGGGTAAGCCGGATTCTGTGTAGATGACGGAAGGGGTCGCTAGTTCAACTTTTATGGGTACCGTGACCACCCAGAGTCCCTTTGGAATGCTGAGGCCGTGACTACCCAAAGGGGAGTGCTCAGCGCCACCTGCATCACAGCCGTGTCATTGCTCCAACGACAACGCCACGCACATCCTGGACCCCCGAATGCAATGCAGGAGTCTGGCATCTATTGCTGCCTCCGCGGCACGGGGAGCTACAATAGCAACGACCAATGTTTGGCCACACAACCACAAGTGGGCACCAAAAACCGGAAAAAAAATAACTACTGCATGTGCTCCGACGGCCTCACGATTTAGACGAATAAATTACCAGTTCCAGCTTGACGAAGAAGCAGGCCGAGGCTCTCCCAGCATGCCGGCCAGGCTCGCAGACACCAAGTCCTCTCCCACATCGCTCTCTTTAGTATAGGGGCCTGGAGAATTAGAATAGGGTTTGGGGGCCCATTATACTATAATTATAATAAGGAACCCCAAAAATAATATCGGTAATTATCAAGGCCCCTGCTTTAGGGCATCCGTTTGGGCAATAGACCAATGACTTCCAGATGGTACCTTACTGGAGAGCTCAATCAAACAGTTTCCCGTCGTCCAGCTCAGCCCAAACTGACCTGCTGCAAGCCCATCCATCCGAGTATCTAAGTCCACCACGAACTTAGGAACTAGGAGCTTCACTTGAGGTGAAGGAGTTCTGGTGGAGCGGATGGAATTTCTAGGCGAATCGGGGAAATGGTCAGATTCCGAACCCTGTTGCATGCTGCTCCCGGGTGTCTTCTTCTAGCATTAGGTCCCTGGAAACCCAGAAGCAGGCTTCATGCTTGAAAAGCTGTCAGCCCTTGCGGGCTTCTCAGGGCTGGCAGCCGCATTATGTATATTCTAGCAATGGTTCGCGACAATTCCGAGCAGCTTAAGTAAAAAAGCTTGACTCTATTTTGCGGACATGGCCCCCCCACTCAATACAGTCCGCCACGCTCGGCGGCAGCTGCCGCGACCGGAAGCGGGGCTTCATGTAGGTGTATGCGCCTGATTGTGTTGCATGCATGCATGCGCACATACATATACATACATATACATATACATGTACATATACATATACATATACCCATACACATACACATACACATACACTTACACATACATATACACTTACACATACATATACATACATACATACATACATACATACATACATCCATACATACATACATACATACATACATACAACAAGCCTACCTACCGACCGACCGACTGAACTACCGACCTACATACATAATACATACACTGGTACATATATCCCCGCACGACATGCATACATGCGTACATGCATACGTGTATACTTGCATGCATGCATTCCTGCATATGTACCTAGGTGCAGACAGACCTACCTACTTACCTACCTACCTACCTACCTACCTACCTACCGACCGACCTACCTACCTACCTACCTACCTACCTATGTACATACATACATACATACATACATACATACATGCATGCATGCATGCATGCATGCATGCGTGCGTGCATGCATGCGTGCATGACTCATGCATGCATACATACATACATACATACATACAAACAAACATACATACATACATATGCATACATCGGCACACATACATACCAACCTACCTACCAACCAACCAACAAACAAAACTACCTACACACACAGACACACGTACCTACCGCACGTACAGTGCATGCAGTACATACACACACATACTTTACATACACATACTGCACAGGTACTACATACACAACACATGTATGAACTCATGCAATACCCATGCTTGACACAAGTGTTACACATGTCTTACATGCAATCTACCCCATTCCATTCCATACCATATCACAACGTGTATGCGACAGCTACTTTTGCCAAATCTGCGAAGCCTGCAGCCGAGCACTTTGAAGCGGCATCTAGTCATCTAGTCTTTCATACATGACTGTCGGTTAGTTGTGCCCTCCTCTCCACATTGCTACTTGAACTAGGAGCCAGGCAAGGGCCTGAGACTGGAACTCTCAAGGCTGTCCTTCCTGCAGCTTCCCGATTAATGACATAAGGAGGTGCAGGGCTCTCCCCGTCTATTTTCTTAGAAGGCCAACCCTCAGGCTGAGCGGCTGAAGTAGACGAAGTAGGAGAGGCCCGTCGCCTGAAGCTGGCTGCCCAAGCCTCCTCGGATGGCGGCTTCGGATCCCGTGGCAAACGTGCGATGATTACTCCCTTTATTTCGACACAAGATCTCTGTTTGCGAATGAGAAGGATAAGAATACCAATAACAAGCTTACTGTTACTCTTTGTCGCTACCGGTCTTGCCGGTATTGCCACTACACGCCGAAGGCTGCTGGACCTTCTTGCGCCTCGGTTTACTCTAGTCGCGCGGGCTGAACAGCTTGCTACGGCCAGGGCTTGGATCTCTCCTGAGAAAGCGGGCGAGGGACATGTGTTTAAGGGTTTCGGGGCGTCGGGAGCTGAGGTTGGAAAACCAAGCTTCGGAAGCAGTCGTCCTCCGAAAGCAGCATGTTGAGCAGGCCTTCGAGCGAAAGCGTGTCCGGGCGTATCCATCATCGCTCTCATTCGTTGACATGGCCGGCAACCTCTATCATCCTCCTGGTCCTCCTCATCACGCTCGACAGCTAATGACCACCATAAGCATCATGAGTTCTACTACCATAGTCACCAACACCATGTTTGCGCTGCTGGTAGCTAAAACACTAAAACTAAAAACACACAACTAAGTCTGCTGTTCTATTTACTCTCCCGGGCCGTCACTGCTGCTTCCGATGAAGGGGGTCTCCGCCGTCACATCTGCAGCGGCTCTATCGCCATGATATATATGAAACTGCAATCCATCTCGGTTGCCGCTTCGTCAGCTTCCCTATTGGACACACTGGATTAGTTTTTGTTGGTGGTACACTGGCGGTATTGCTGATTCAGTCGCGGTGGGGGTATGCCTGTTGCATGGTTGCTGTTGCCATTTGCTGGCATGTGGTGGTGCTGGGACTTCCGAGTTTTCGAAGTTCTTGTTGCTGAAGCTGAAGCGCGGGCAGCCGAAACCCTGGCCTCCATGAACACCTGCAGCTTGGGAGATGACTCCGATCTGGTCCAGAGGGTACCTCCAGTAACCCCATCCCTCAGCGTCTCGATTCGGACATGCGATCCA